AGGCATTACATGCTTGAGGGGTCGTGTGATATAGTACATGTGCATATAGTGCCAGTTACAACATTTAATGTAAAAAAATATTGAAAAAAAAAACATTGGCTTTATGGATTATTTGAATTTGGTTGTTACAAGTTCCAGGGAATTATTTCAGGATACTTTCCTTGAAATTAAGATAGTGGTTTAATTTGTGACGATGAGAAAGATTAAAAAAAGCATGAAAAAAGTCATGTTTAACGTTTTACACAAGGTTTGGTCAAAGACACATCTTATTTTAGAGCCTCGAACTTGGCATTTGATACCTCCATACACAAATGTAAAGGTTCCTTAAAAGGATTTTCATGTACGTTCTAATCTTCTCTGTCTGGTTACTCTACCATTTTCTAGGATATCCATCTTGTGGTGTTCGTCCAGTTCCTTCCCCTTCCTCCCGAATCGTAGGAGGCCTAGAAGCTCACCCCAACACCTGGCCATGGCAAGTCGCTCTTTTTGTTGATGGTACTTCTCACTATTGTGGCGGCTCGCTGATTGATCCTTCGTGGGTTGTGACCTCAGGCCATTGCTTTTATTATATTCCACAAGTAGACTGGTGGCATGTAAGGGTTGGGGAACATAACGCGACAAAATTCGAAGGCTACGAGGAAAGGATCGCAATTGAATACGTCACGATACATCCGGGATTGGACCCTTCTTTCGATGATTACGACATCGCCCTCGTCAAGCTCAAGCGACCAGCGGTGTTCCACAGCCGAGTACATTCAATATGTCTGCCTGATATGGACACTACCTTTCCAACAGGCAAATCCTGTTTTGCCACCGGATGGGGAATGCAAGAAGAAAATGCTACTGAGTATTCAGATGTTCTTCGAGAAGTGGAGGTGAACCTCGTATCTAAAGAAGTCTGTAACAGCAATATTTCTTACAATGGTACTATACACGAACGTTATCTTTGCGCTGGTTTTCAAGGCGGTGGTAAAGACACGTGTGTTGGTGATAGCGGAGGACCGCTGGCTTGTCAAAATGAGGATGGCCGTTTCGTACTGACGGGCGTTGTAAGCTGGGGTGAAGGCTGCGCCCGAGCTAATAAATATGGCGTGTATTTAGATGTGCGCTACATGCTGCCATTCATTGAGGGTACCCTATACGGTAAGTCGTGTAGAATTAGCCGACATAGTGCATTTTTGCCTCGCTCTGTGATTGGTCGATAAGAATACGTGTTACCCGATGGAAACAAATTACTGAGTAGCAAAACAGAAACAAATCGTAGCCTTATTTGGTTGTCTTTTTCGCCTTTCAGCTATTTTCCTTTGTTCTTGGTTTAGTTTTAATGACAATTAACTGATGGAAAAGCACCCTGAGTGAAAAGAAAAGAAGTATCTAAACGGCTTTGGTTGCCTTTTAGATCTGCTTCGTTAGGTTTGCTCTAAAGGTTAACCTAACGAGTAAAGGCGGCGAAATACGAGATACAAAAACCCTTAACTTGTCGCGCAACATTGTTTTGTTGCAAGTTTTGGTCGATGTTTCCCGTTTTTCACCATGCATGATCAACTTGTCGTGCAACAAAAACATTTGTTGCAGGTTGAAGAAATTTATTGCGAAAAGTAGAGCGCGGGTCTACTTTGAGCAGCAAATTTTGGGTTTGTTTCTCGTTTTTCATCAAACTCACAACTTGTCACGCAACAAATTTGCTCATGTTGCGTGATAAACTGAGGGTTTCTGTATCTCATATTTCGCCGCCTTAAGGTTTTTCTGTTACCCATCATTGCCTCAATTCTCACATACACTTGCTTAACTTTTCTTTATACAGGTGTGCCTTGTTTTCCAAAAATTTACATTTAAAATTTGAAAGAAAACTCGCGAAATTTTAAGAAGAGAATATTGACAGAAGAGCATAGCCAATTTAATAACCGCACTGAAGAGACTGTAAACTTCTTTATTTCAGACGGTAATTTAATGATGGCGATTCTCCGATGAATTTCGATTATTTTATTCATTCTGTTTAGGTCATCCGAAATGTGGCACCCGCTTCCTATCCTCAGAAAGTTCTCCTGCTCTCAGCCATAATGAGGCTCGTCCCAACTCCTGGCCGTGGCAGGTTGAGCTGCTATTCAAAGATAGGCATGCGTGTAGCGGCTCTCTGATCAACCGGCACTGGATACTGACTTCGGCAACTTGTGTGAACACAAGCCATAGTACCGATAACTGGATGGTCCGGCTCGGTGAACATGACCGAACAGTCATCGAGGGATACGAAGAAAGTATTAAAGTCAAAGAAATTTACACAAGTGCAAAACAGCATGTCACACTGCTGAAATTGAAGCGAAAAGCTGTCCTTCACAAGCGAGTTCTTCCTATCTGTCTTCCGGAAGACGATGCAAACGTTATTGTAAATTCTTCGTGTTATGTGACCAGTTGGCAGTTTGCCAACAAGGACGGGAATTTCACGGATGTGTTAAACAAAGCCCAAGTTGAAATAGCCCCATTTCAAGACTGTAATGCATCATACAGTGGAAAACTCTCCGAGTATGAAGTATGTGCAAACTTCACCCGAGGGAAAGCACAAGGTTGTAATGTCGAGAGGGGTGCGCCTCTAGTTTGTCCAGGGATCGATGGACGATTTGTATTAACAGGCGTAGCTTCTGCCGAAGACGAATGTTCGAATGCGGGACAATATGGTGTCTTCCTCGATGTCAAAATGATGCTTCCGTTTATTAATGACGCTATTAGTATGATCCAGTATCCAGACAGTGTTTAAATAGTTCTGTGTAAGTTCGAACAGCTCGAACTTGTGTAACGAAAGTAATTCTTGCATCAAAGTGCACAAAGCAACCAGGTGGACAATCAGACATGGTTTGATGCTACTCTGGTTTAAAGATTTAACGAATGTAACTGAGGAGTTACAGTGTTTATCGGAGCACACATGCCTAACTAACCATGCAGTTGGGTGGGACAATTCTAAAATTTTCACCACTAATCGACGTTACCACCAGCGCCTTTGTTTGGAAGCCTGGCATATCAACTCCGCCCACGCTCCTTTAAATCGTGTAGTCTCCCTAATGACATTCATGGATAGACAGTAGAGCCTTACGACTCGTTTCGTTTCCATCGTTTCCTTAATGAATATTCATGGTTCGACGAATCGTACGAGTCGTGACACATAAGACGACTCTTACGGATCGTTCGACTCGTGAATACATTAGACGACTTGTATCGAGCCCTGGTATTGAACAACCCTCTAGTACATATAAGTCTTATGAATCTTAAAAAGGCCAGAAAACAAGTTATTCAAGTTTCGGTGTGAGAAGCACTGGTGAGTAACTCAAAGATGTTTCGGTGCGACCACTATTTGTTCAGTACTCGTTCAATTTCTTGTAAATTAACAACCTGGAAACATTTCCTGTGCTAAAGATTTTGGATTTTAACACTTACCTAGCCTCATTTGTTACTTAGTATAGGCTCGGAGAAGGAATTCTAAATTCACTTGGGTTTTTTTGTTTTTTGATATGTCTTAAACTAATAATTGTAAGTGAATCAATCTTTTTGGAGCAAAGCTGCGACAAATTAACACCCTTCAACATTCTCAAAAAGTCCTGAAACCATTGAACTATTGCAGCTCATCTTAGATTACTTGAAACAATTTTTTGGACAATTGCACCTCGAATTAAAAGCGTTTGGGTTGCATAGTGACCCCGTTTAGATGCTTGGTCTCCATTACCCAAGAAATCCTCTTCAGGCCACGAGTTGCTATGGGTGTTCTTACTCTTTAAAAGGTTGGCGAGTTTTCGTGCTAATCTTCTCAGAAGGGATATCTTTTCTAAGCTAAAACCCTTCGCTCACACTACCTAAAAAAGAAAGCTCAGACGGGGAAACTGATCACAAACGCTTGTGTTAGCCCTTTCGCTTGGTGTCAAACTTATAGCCAAGGTTTTCCTCTAGAGGCCAACATACCCTTAATAAACTCAAGTTGTTTAACAAAGGGGGGGGGGGCCAACAATAGACGGGACTTATGACATTTTTTTATGGATTAAAACCTGCAGTTATACTTTTTGAGTCTAACTCCTGTGAAGAGCCATCCACAACAGAACTGCATTGCCCTGTTTTTTGTGTTTCTGTGCTCTCAGACATGCTCTCGTCACTCTTTGGCGGAAGAGTTTGTAATCCTTTAAGCAGTTCCCGTGCTTCTCTCAGTTTCTCATCAAGTACCATTGCTTTTGCTTGCGCCTCTAGCATTTCCTTTTTAGCGGTAGCCTGTTCATGACGTTTAGTCTTTTTAGTCAAATTTCCAGTTAACAGACGAACGCGCAAACCGATTGCGCCACGGAGACTTCGCCACATGACGAGGGATTTCTTTTTGTTTATGATAATTTTCTTCCGCAATGCCCTATACCCTTCTGTGCGCAGGCTAAATTACGCAAGGAATCTAACAAATCTTGAAGTACAACGGTAAAATAACAACAAAGATCAACGTGTGCATTGCCGATCTTGAGAAATTGAGGTTACACATCCTCTTACAATTTTGTAACTCCTCTTCTTCTCTAGAATTCTTAATCGTCTTGTTTGCCGCGAGTTGATTACCGTACTGAACTTCTACTTATTTTTTGCTATAACAGACAGATAAAACACAACTGACCTTTCAATTCTCTCCTTTAACCCTTTAACTCTCAAGATCTCATTAAAAATTCTCCTTACTGTCTGCCATACATTTCTCGCAATGTTAGTTTTGAGAATTTGATAGTGGATCGACTTATAATCCCCTAATTGATATTTTTCTTCATTCTTATTACTTGTTTGCTTGATTAACCTTAAATTAAAGCAACATGAAGGGAGACTGTTTACCTTTTGAATGGTAAGCATCACACGCCACTGCAAAAATTTGACACATACTTGACAAGTTGAAAGAATTATGAACCTGGCGCCCATACTCGTGGTAATTAAACAAATTCTTTAAGAGCTTAGAATGGACTCGCTAAAACACCTTGATACTGTTCCAGTTACTAGACGAAAATGGAACTATCCAAAAACTGAAAAGAGACAAGAAGTGCTTTCTTTAGGCGCAAAATTTTGCTTTTCCGTCTTCTTGCAATGCAATTACAATTAGGAACACCACGTAAATTTTGAAATTTCAACAATGTTCATAATTCATAAAATCAACTGAAAACGGAAGACTAATACAACGGCATTAGCATAATCTTCATTATCTTGACAAATTCTTGGTCGAGTTCAAGTACCTGGAGTTCAATTTCAATTGTAACCTAGGTCACCACGTTTTAATATGAATAAACAAATTCTCAATCATTATCGTTCCTGTTCATTGGTTTAAATTTTATTCCACTTCCATTTGAATTCTGATCTTGGCAAAGTTGACACACTGAAGTCAGTGGCCATATGTTTACATATTTACACTTAAAGCTGTGAAAGATCACAAGATTTGAGCGCAAATTGGGATAAGTGATGTGGATTGTTACTCTCCTGTGCTTGTTTTTAAGCGGTGAGTATTCTTGAATAGCTTCTTTCAAGTTCGCGAAGGGTGTTCTAGTTCTAACCGATTGATTTGTGATTCAGTGTTAACTCAGTGTGGCATTAATGCCTAAAACTTTCATGTATATGTAAGCTTAATAAGGCAACTGGATTCAAAAAGAGCTTAAGACGTTTCTGGGGGTCGTATATCCCATATCAATTAGGACTCAAACATTAGAGCTGCCTGGATCTTCTACCTTCATTTCGAACCATCAAATAACCCTCAACAATGATTAGCCTACGGGTATATATATCTCCTGTTTTCATTTACTCGATCATTTACTCGGAATATCTTTAGCCTCCTTGTGCAAAGGCGTTTCTTAATTTCACGGGAAGATCTGCAAATAATGAAAGTCGACATCACGAGCCGTCAGCAATTGAATCGGACGAAGATACGCCATGCGAAATTTGCGTTAACAAAATTAAATGCAACAATTAACGCGAGATCCCTTCGTCAGTTTATGTATGAATGCTCTCATATACTTTATTAGATGCCGCAACATTTGGAGAGGCCAGCATTTTGTTCCCAGAAGAAACATTGGGTAAGATTTCTTACGTTGAATGTTTTCCTTCAATCTTCGCCTTTTTGCTCTCTAATGCGGCTTCCATAAGTGTCACTTGTTGTGAAACAAAAGGTCGACGGTGGACAGTTAAAGCTGAAATCAGGGTTATCAACGTTAATTTGACAAATGCTAATAGGAAAGAACTTTGGAATCTTTTTGGGACAAAAAAGCTGCAATGCTTTCGTTGCCTCGCAGAAGTTTAATTTGGACTTTAATATTCTCCATCAGTATAAGTTACAAACCAGATTAATATCACTGTTTGCTGTTTGAGATCTAGACTCGACACCAAAATAGATCACTACATGCATACGTTCATTGGTTGATTAGCTTCTGCTTTTCGAAACTTGTCCTACGAAATATCTCCTTTTGCAGACAGTACGGAGCAAAGTGCTGTGGTGGTTTGCTTCAGCTGGTTGTTGAGTAATAATACTTATGAGGTTTCATATTCATCTTGTCTCTTACCGTCGACGGATAAAGATAATGTGTGAAAATAGAAATTTTAAAGAAACTTGTTGCTAAGGATTTTTCACCGTGACATCATAATATCCGTCGAAGGTAGTACAGAAGAGAGGAAACCAGAGGCTCATAATGTTTTTAAAAAACAATTTATCCCCCTACATCGTTTCTTCATATTTACTGTATTTGGAATCGTTGCTACGCTTACTTGATTTTCTTATTACGGAGTTTGTTTGCATTATTCGAATGATGTTACACATGAATTGTCAACTTTTCTTTCACATAAAACTAATTTACATGGTAATGCAAAGCCGGTGGAGGGATGCGGCCACTTGACCTGATTTATACCTCGATGTTGACATCTGTAAACTCTTACAATAAGATCTTTATGTTTTAGGCCACACAAGCTTTCGTATACGAACAAGCGGTGTTATACCACGCCAATGTCTCAGCTAGCAATTTACAATAGTTTCTTCTAAAGACTTCTCATGCAATTATAAATCACCAACTGCTGCGAAGTGCACCTCCTTTCAATATTCACAAAAGAAACAAACACAGCTTTAAGAACACCTAATTTTAGATGTGATGTCCGTTTGCGCTGATGAGGAAACGAGATTAGGTTTCGAATTGTAATATCTGTTGATTTTGACAAATGTATAGTGATAATGGTTTAAAGCAAATAAAGCTGTCGAGGAAATGAACACGTTATAGAGAAGAAACAATAATAAGGAAGGTAAAAATGCACATGAATGTCGATGAAAGGGAGATTTTAGAAGCTGCTTCGAGAGTGTGACAAGAACAAGGGATTCGCGGAGGGTTCTGGTGAGATTAACAGTCAGTCGTAAAACGGCTTGAGCATTTAGCCGTTAGGCGTAAAAAACTCCAAATTTTAACCGTTAGTCGTGAAGAAAGTTACCCGTAAAAATGTTTCCTCACAACAGTGTGTCATTTTGTGTCATTTCTTTGGTTAACCGTAGGGGTTAAATGGCCAAAATTTTAACTGTTAGCCGTAATAGTCATCACCTCATTGGGATCCTCTTCGTGTGGATTAAAGCTTCAGACATTCGGATTTAGAGTATCAAAAGCTCTGGGGTTGATTTCCTTTTGGGGTGCTCTCAGATTTCACTTTGTTACACGGTCATCATGACAAGACAATTAACGTCTTTCTTTGTTTCCTGAGAGTTCAAAATTTATCTTTTTTGGCAGATAATATTCTTTCAGTTCTAGCGGGAAGCCATTAAGGGAAGGGAAGGGAAGCCATTAGTTTTCGAGAATTTCCCTGTTTCTTGTTACGGCGACTGAAACAACCTCTTGTTTTCCACCATAGGATCAACCTGCAACAGTTCGCTTGGCATGCAAACTTTCTGGATTCAGGAAGCTGCCATAACCGCCTCATCAATTCGCGACAGTGTCCATGATCCCGCACAAGCACGTCTCCATGGTAACGGAGCGTGGATGCCGCTTATTCAAGACGCCAATCAATTTCTGCAGATTGATTTCGAAAACGAAGCTAACGTGTCAGCGGTCGCTATCCAGGGTCATCCTACAAATGACTTCTGGGTATCAAAGTATTCGTTATCATTTAGCAAGGATGGCAAACTCTGGGATGATATATCAGAGGTACTTCTTATGCGAAGTACTAAATACGGCTGTCTATCGGTGGTTCTCAATTTTTTGTTGTTTTTTTGTCTTTGTAGTTGTTTTTTTGGTCATTGGAAAGGGGCGATTTTGTTAGGGATTGGAATAGGGACTGATCGCCCTACCATGTCAATCTGCGTAGTTTCAGCAGAAATGGGACAAAAAATCGGGTTACATCTGTTCCCGGTTGTTCAAAGGTTGTAGAAGCCCTGTGGACAGTCCAGTGCGCTTTGTGAACATGATCACTTATCCGCCGGATGTCGATTTAACCGTTGGATAGTATTATCGGAGCTTTGAACAACTGGGTCTGGGCCCTGGTTTGATCTCTTGGAGTGACGTATACCAATTTTTCTTTTGGTATCCCTTTATAATCGAGAAAAGCAGGTTACCCCCAGCATTTGTCATGACACAAATAACATTAAATATACTGTAATGTTCATATACTATTCAGGTCTTTGATGGCAGTGAAAGCAGACATGAGGTCAAAACCACCCAACTAGAAGAGCTTCAAATGGCGCGTTTTTTACGCATTAAGCCCACGGAATGGAATGATGCTATCGCTCTTCGAACAGAAGTTTATGGCTGTATGCGAGGTGAGCAGTGATTTAATATAACTGAGTTGAAGAGAAGAATGTCTTTTTCAGAAGCAGACGTTAAAATTCGGCGATAACTTCTGCTTCTGCTTTGATTTAGACAAATTTTCCTTACAACAACAATACAATATCAGGATGACAAGTGATGAGAAGATAGAATCATATCAATTGGGGGATCATAAGTCAATATCAAATTCTCTGAACTTTCATCAAAAGAAATGTATCAAAGAGAGTAAGGAGAATTGCTAATGAGATCTTGGGAGTGGAGGAGCTAATCACCGGATATGAGAGTTCCCAGCAGGTACTAAAATAACTTAGATGGTGGCAATAGTGCTCTAGCAAGGCAGTAGTCACCAGTACAGGTTCAAGGAAAAATTTGGCATTAGAAATAAACCCGGCCAGATCAATCCTATGAGAAAATTTATTTGCATTTGTATATCAATGCTTCGTTGGAAATTTGACGGTGCGTCCTCATACAAAAACACGATTTTATCTATCTCTGCAGGTTTTCTCTCTGTTGTAACTCAGTGACAACTTCTTTCTTTGCATAGATTTTCCAAAATGTGGAAGTCGCCGACAAGACGAAATTCATCATTCTCGCCAAAAGCGAGTTGTCGGCGGCAACATCGCTAAGCCAAACTCGTGGCCGTGGCAAGTTGAAATACTGGAGAATGGGACTAAGCACTGGTGCGGGGGCTCCATCATTCACCCTCAGTGGATAATTACAGCCGCTCACTGTGTGGATGAAATTTACTCATCGGCACCAAAGGAAATACGTATTGGAGAGCACAACAGCAAGGTTCTCGAGGGCTACGAGGAGATTATCGAAGGAGACAGGTTCTACATACATCCGGGATTTAAACACGACCGCCCGACAATGGTCAGCGCTGGAGACTACGACTTCGCTCTTTACCGTCTGAAGAGACCAGTCACGTTCTACAGTCGAGTCGGTCCGGTGTGTCTGCCTGAAGAAGACTCGACTATCAGCGACGAGGTTGGCCGAATGTGCTTCTTGACAGGTTGGGGTCACACCCAAGAAAATGGAAATTTTTCCGATATTCTTCGAGAGAACGAAGTGCCCTTAGTTTCTTTTAAGGAGTGCAACAAAGAGGACTCTTATAACGGTTACATTAAGGAGCGTTACATGTGTGCAGGATATCCTGAAGGTGGAAAAGACGCTTGTCAAGGAGATAGTGGAGGGCCCCTAGTATGTCAAGATGGGGCAGGAAAGTGGGTGCTGGCTGGTGTGGTGACTTGGGGTGTCGGATGTGCAAGACCGCAAAAATATGGGGTTTACGCTGATGTCCGCAGATTTCTTCCCTTTATTGAAAGCACTATATATGGTATGCACTAAATTAGATGGTAATAAAATGCACTCTCGATTGTAAAAACGACGGCTAAAAGGCGTTATCAATGAACGATGAGACCCGGTGGCTTTACATACATACATACATACTTTATTTAATTCTCCCCAAGGGGCTTTTCAGAATTAATTTACAATGTGTATATATAATATGAAAGACTAATGATATAA